GTAACCCGACACCACAGTCGCTATCTGCTTGTCACTAAACCCAGTGCTCTTCAAATAGACGATGTTAGGTTCAAGGACTTTGTTAGCGTCTCTACACAGAACCTCTGAATAATTTAGAGCCACCTTCTGAAGATCTGTCATTCCCAAACCGACTTTCTTTAGAAAGTCGGCAGTAGGCTGCAGCCTCTTCTCGATGTTGTAACCCATTATATGTGGATTCTTCACCAAAATTTTGCCAATCATACCTTCATCAGTTAGGCCAAGCTTCTCGAAGAAATTGACTAGCCGAGCAAGCTTCCGTTCTATACTATAGCTGATGATTCTAGGATTCAGCAACACCATTTTCCCAATCTGCTTTTCTGGAATCCCGAGTGCCTCAAGAAAACCTAATAAAGGGCACAATTTTCCTTCAGCACTGTGGGAAAAAATGTAAGGGAACTTGATGATAGTTGTAGCAACCTCTTCGGGTTTTGTAGCCAATGTTTTGAGGCATTGAACCATTGGCTCAAGCGTCTCATCCACGCCAAATGTGAGGATTTTTGGGCACTTGATCACAACAGGTGGAAGTTTCCTCTCTTGAATACCCAAGCTTCGGAAATAATCCCAGTTTCGGGAGGCTTTTTCACTTTCCAAGGTTTCAAGCCGCTTGCATTTTCTAAACATGTTTTCGATGCTTTTGTCATCAAAACCTTTATCCTTGAAGAACCATAATATTCCACCTTTCTGGCTGCCACTTACTTCCATGGTTCCTTAAAAAATGAAAAAAAGTTTAATGTTAATGTCACAAACAGAGAGAGGAAATGTGATGTAGTGAGTCACGATAGCAATCGGCAACATCAGTTACAAGTACAGAGTAAATTTTATCAACGGAACCCCTCTTATTGGATCAGGACAGTTTAACAGGTGAAACCCGGAAGTTTTATGTTACCCAAACTTGCTAACTCATTAAGTACCCAAAGTTGGATACACTTAACATGGTAAAATTAAAACTTCATACAAGACCAAATGAAGCAAACATTTCACCCAAGTCATGCACCACATGCTGTACAATTTTAAATGACTAGAAGTAAGAGACAAAAGTATTGCATTTCGGACAACCTAAAATGAGATAAATTAATGCATTGAACAACACCGATGAAATTAGGGACAGAAATCAAATGGTGGTGTTAAATGTATGGGCATACTTATACTAATATATAAAACATATTTGGGGGGTGATTTGAAATATAAAAATAAACTAAGAAAACTAAAAATTGATAATAGAAGTAACACACACACACACCAACCAGACAAGAAAAGCTAGCACTTAACCACAAAAAACAAAATGCCAAAATCGAAACTAACTCACAATAACAAGAGACAAACACACGCTTCCACAAACACTTTATAATGTGAACTTAAACTGATTTCGAAAATGATGTATAGGTTATGGAAATCAGCACATTATTCACACTTCAATTTACTTCATTTTGAAGAGTAAAAACGCTTGGATTCAACATAGCATCCCACACATCAAGCATACCACATATTGGATTCAAAACAGAGACAAATCAACCTTAAATCAGATTAAAACACCAAATTCAGAACCGTTTGGGTATTATTAGAAAGATCAAATCAGCTTCTGGTTCAAATAAGGCATTAATTCGAAGCTGTGGAAAACCCTAGTACACACAATCAATATTTAAAAATGGAAATGCATAAATAAATGAATAATTAAATAAAAGGATGGAATTACGAAGTTGCGCTTCGATTATGGAAAAGTTGCGTGTCTTCCGAACTCTGCGCCCAACTCCCTCCACCGCTGCTACTCCTGAGTCGTCAGTAAGTTGCCCATGGGGATAGAACCCCAGCCCCTGCGCTTCGCCCCACTCTCGTGATCCCTACTCTTCGTCTTCTCCGATCTTTTTTTTCTCTGAGTGAAAATGGAGGATGGCGCTGGTACCTTTTCAAAAGTGTGAAAAAACGAAAAAAGAGGATATGAAATTGTGAGGTGTAGAGTATAGAGGTATGAAAACTGGAACGGATAATCTGGATAAGGTTATGGTTGGATTTAGGATCAGATTTTTCAATGCTAGTTGTAAGGGTGGACCATAGTTTTAAAAACCGGACCGGACCGGCCGGTTCGGACCGGAAACCGGTGAACCGGTCGCCGGAGCGGTCCGGTTGAAGGGGTTAGACCGTATCCTGCATCGAACCGGTGGTCGAACCGGAAACTGCCCATATTTTTGTCGATCAGTACGCGTCGGTTGGGGGCGGTAGATGCACTTTGACGACGGATGCTAGCATCAACGATGACTCCGGATGAATGCATGAGGCGGCCGCCATGGCGAAGAGGGTGAAGTTGACTGGTGGTAGAGAGCCGACCATAGCAGATGCGTAGCACTGCAACTTTGTTGGCGGCTGTGAAAGCTTGATTGAGAGTAGGGTTTAGTCGTTTAGATTTCTTGGGAACTAAAGACACTTGCGATGTACTCCGTATATTTTCTATTAGGACTAATGATACTCCGTATGTATGGGCTTTAGCTTTGGGCCTCAATATTACTTGGATTGTCGTTTTATCCTTATATGATCCACTATAACACACACATATTTTATATATATATATATATATATATATATATATATATATATATATATATATATATATATATATATATATATATATACACACACACACATATACATATACATATACATATATATATGTATGTATGTATGTATGTATGTATGTGTGTATGTATGTATGTATGTATGTATATTTTAAATAAGTTTAAACCACCGGTTCGACCAGTTGAACCACTGGTTTGACCAGTGAACCAGTACCCTTGACCGGTTCGATCACCGGTCTGGTTCTGAAAACTATGAGGCGGACACGGAACGGTCCGAGTTTGTAGTCGTTTGGGTTCCAATAGCGGTTTCGGACAAGAGATTGTCCTATTTTGTCATTTTCATTTTTGAGCGGGATAATTCGAAATGGTTCGAAATGTTCTAGTTCAAACTTTTTGAAATGCAAATATAAAAATCTGTACTCCTCCGTCTGCCATTAACAGGGGTTGAAATAATCCTAAATATGACTAAAATATAGAGAAGAATACCAAAAAGGGATTTTCGTATTTTCATTTCCGGAATAGAACTTTGCACTGTGGTAATGTGACATTGTAGATATACACATTACTATACTTTTTTGTAATGTACAAGATCATCACTACAAGAATTTGTTACAGACTCATTTCCGTAGCAGATCTGTAACGAATCAGCGACGGATTTGAAATCCTTGAAAAAAAACATAATCTGCGACGGACTCTATTTTTCCGTCGCAAATTAGCGACGAATTATTTGTGCCTGTCGCAAATTTAAGTTGGTCAATTTTTGACCTGATAATCTGCGACGGAGGTATATATCTGTCGCCGATCCGTCGCAGCTTCTGAAGTGATAATCGATATTGAAATTTTCCCATCCATTCGTCTTTCACTTCAACCCTATCCCGTCTCTCTCCCGGTCAGCCGTCCTGCGAATGCCACTCCTTCGCCAGCCTTCAACGCCCTTCTTTGCCGCCGACGAATGTTCTCGCCAGCCACGCCAGCCCTCCTGCCACGCCGTCCCGCCCAGCCGTCTTCCCCAGCCGCGCCGTCATCTCCAGCCGCTCCACCTGCGCTGCCCACCAGACGTTGACGCCGGCCAGCCGTTTCTCTTCCCCGCCGGACATCCTCTGCATCTTTGCCGTAGGTATTTGTGTTTAATTTAATTTTTGGTGAAATTGAATTTCTTTGTGTGAAATTGAGTGCACTTTGGTGAAATTTACTTAGATTGTGTGTATATGAGATGAAATTGACATGAAATTGGGTAAAAATTGCATTACTTTTTGGTTAAAATTTTAATTAAAATTGTGTTAGTAAATTTGACATTTATTGTGAATTTAGGTAAACTTTAGTTGAATTTTGTGAAATTTAATGCATAATATGTTCATATCTATAGTTAAATTAGTGTTGTTTCTGGTTTAATCAAATTGTCGTTTGTTAGTCGTCTTTATTGTAGGTATGGTTTGTTGGTATAAATGTCATTGATATTCTTGGCTAAATGATTGTTGTTTGTTGCCTTTCAATTATCAGGCGTTTCTAGAATGAGTCCATTTGAAAATCGTGAGTTGATGTATAAGAAATATAAGAGAGAAGGTGTTGTTAGTCAAGAAGCACGATGGCAAGACTTGGGTGGATCCAGGACATGCTGAGCTACAGGTACTTTCCACAATTTGCAAAATAGTTTGGGTTCATGCTCATAATGTTGTTGTTTTTGTCTTTAAGCTTCTAAAGGGTGATAATGTAGTCGCTTTCTTGTGTAATTTTATTGTTTTGGTTGACGTTATTTTTACTGTTTATGTTACTGTTAATTGTGTTATTATTATTGTTGTTACATTGATGGTGTTGTTGTTGACATATGATACTATTTTTGTTGTTGCGTTGATGGTGTTGTTGTTGTAGGGTTGAGACTACTTTTGTTGTTGAGTTGATGGTGCTGTCATCACTAGCTAGATATTACGTTTCTTATCGATCCATGATAATGTTGTTAAGTTCTTGTGTTGTTATTGTTGTTTTTGTTGTTGTTGTCATATGACACTGTTTTTGTTGTTGCGTTGATGGTGTTGTTGTTGTCATTTGACCATGACTTGTGTTGTTTGATGTTGTTCATGTTGTTATTGATGTTCTTGACACGCTATTATAGTTACGTTGTTATTGTGTGTTATTAAGTATCATATATTGCAGGCACAATTCTCCGAACTGCGCGAGGAGGCTAGACAAAATGGACTTAAAGTCACCGACGAAGAAATATGCACTACAAAATAAATGGGCATAGGCAACACATAATATTGCAACAATATTGAAGATGTTACCATTGATTACCTATGGCAACATTTTACACTTGTAGCTTTTAAGTTTAGTTATTCCTATTAATTTTGTGTAGTAAGACTAGTAACAAGGCAAAAACTGTTGCCTATGGGTATCGGTGCAGAAGAAAAAAAATAAAAACCGGAAACCTAAGTTTAATGGCCCATTAGAACTTCAGAAGGCTCTTCAACCCTAACGGCCTACCCAAGAAAGTTCATTCATTTCTCTCCATCCGTTTTCGAATCTCCATCGATCTCCCCTCTATGGACGGATCCAACCTGCGGTCATTTAATTTCTTCGATTCTTCTCCAATTGGTGCTAGTTCCAGGTTTTTTCTTTTTGCTCTTATTTTTTTTGGAACAAATTGATTATTAATTGGGTGTATTTAGACAGATCGATCTTCTCCTTTCTCTCGCCCTACGGATGCCGGCTGTCACTGTGTTGGCCTCTATCCACCGCGTCTTTGCGCGATTTTGAAGCATCTCTGTTTTTGATCCATAGACGCACACTGCGTAATTTATGTTCCAATATGTTTTTCTTTCTTTTAAAAAATATTATGTCTTATATGAGATATTTGGGTGTCTTATATGATATATTTGTGTCATTTCAATTTGAAAAAAGAAGTGATTGTTATGGGGTTCATGTTCTTAAATTTATACTTTGGGTATTGTCTAAACTCTGAACTGTTTTTTTTAATTTCAGAATGTTGAGGAGGGCATCAAAGGCAATTTCTGGTACTGTCTATTTTAATAGTTTCATCTTATTTTAGGCCAAAGTTTCAATGAAGGGTGTCATAATCTTCTTCTTTTCTAATCTTTGAGTTAATTTTCTCTGCAATTTCTGGTTCCTTATGTTGAAATTTTTCAAGAGCTTCAATCTTTTATTCATAGAGTATTCTTGTGTACTTATATTTTGATACTCATGCATTGTTTGTGTACTTATATGTGTCTCAATTTTTTAATTTTTAGATAGACATTAGTTGAACTTGTGTTGTTGCTCTGTTCAAACTTGCTTTCAAATGTTTTATTTTTATTTGAATTGTTGATGGGTTGACATTAGCATATATGGGAGGGCTACTTCTATTATAAACACACTAAAAAGAAACATGATTTGTTGCTTGTTGTGACTACTGGTTCATTCCATGTTCTTTACGATTTGGCACCTTTGGTTTACCAGGTTTTTGGCATGTTTTTATCCAATTTTTGGCATGCTGGTCGGATTTTAGGTGTTTTTGTAACCTTGAGTTTGATTTTTTATTCAAAAAATATATAGGTGTTCCCCTAAAAATGTTTTGGTTTGCAATTTGTGGTTTGTTGTGAGTCAGTGAGTGTTTGATGGATGTTTGAGTGGTCCCGGTGGCATCGGTGACTTTGGTGAAGTGGTAATTGAACATGGGCATGGCTTAGCACCAAGACTTCACATTGTGGCAGCGGCAAAATTGAGCAGGGCTTGGCTACTACATTTCTTGTTGCCTCTATAACACCACAGTGTTGGGAAGCCACTGATTTTGGGCTCCAACATCTCACGTTGCTGCTGTTACTACATGGAGGATGGATTTTCTTGCTGCCCAGGTTCCTTTGGCATTTGGTACTGGTTTGTAGCTCTGTTAACAAGTTGGAACTACTGATTTGGTTGATGTTACATTGAGCAGGGCTTGGCTACTACATCTCACGTTGCTGCTGATTTGCTCCCCTTAGATTGATGTACGCTGATTTGGTTTGCTTTAATTAGGTTTTTATTCATTTATATTCCGAGGGGCTTTGGTTTGGTCCTCCCCTCTTGTACTTTCCGTTTGTTTTATAATAAAAAATTTCTTTAAAAACTAATGTATGCTTTAAAGAGTATTCCGTGTATAGATGTTATCTTGTTTTGTTTATTATTATTATTATTATTATTATTATTATTATTATTATTATTATTATTATTATTATTATTATTATTAGAAAGAGCTGTTGTAAACTATTGGTATTAGGCAACAATTATGATGTGTTGCCATGAAAAAACTGTTGCCTAAGCTTCATATAAGCTTATTTTCACAACTGTTGCCTTTTGTACCAAAACTGTTGCCTTAAGAAAAGACAACAAAGGCATTTGCAACACTCAACTTTTGTTGCCTTAGATGTAAGACAACAGTTTTTTCATTTTTGACAACAGTTTTTATTTGTTGGCATAGGTCATTTATGTTGTAGTGATGGTACTCGCTAGTCGAGGGCCATAACGCAAAGAACCGTGTTCCTGGAGTTGGTGACTATGCACGGGAAATGAAGAGGATCAATCCGTCCTCCAAACCTCGCCGTTCCAGCACTAGTAGCAGCAGCGCGGCGGAGATGGCAGCACTTAAAGAACAAAACCAAAGGCTGCAGGAACAACTTGATAATCTAACCTCAAACTTGTCGCTGACGATTCAGGAGGAAATAAGGAAGTTATATAGTGGTAATCTTCCTCCACGAGGCGATGACGATGGAATGGGAGGGGCGGGACAGCCCGGGATTTGTTGACATCTTTGACATTTGAAACAAGCACTTTAATATTTCGTGTTTTTACAAGATTATGAATTATGTTACATTTGCACGTGAAGGTTTAATTAATCTCGTTTTGAATTATCTATTCCGTATTGAAATTTTGTTTAGAATTATGCGTGTGAAATTTGAATGTGTTGCCCCTGCTACTGCCTAAAAATAGAAAAAACAGAAAATGCTGGTGCTGTGATCAGGTTGTCTGCAACGGACATCCCCGTCGTTATTTCCGTCGCATATCTGCGACGGTTTCAATACTTCCGTCGCAGATGTTTGGGGTGCAAAAGACGAAGGTACCGGTTGCAGGTCTGTGGCAGATCTGCCACGGAATCTTATTTCTGTCGCAGATTTTCAATCTGCCACAACTTTTCTGCGACGGAAAATATTCGTTGCAGTTCTGTCGCAGATTGCTAATCTGCCACGAAATTTCAAAATCTGCTACGGAAATTGTCCGTTGCAAATTGACAGTTTTCTTGTAGTGCATGTTTGGTAATGTAATAACATTATAACTCTTATTTCGGGAATGAAAAATATGGAAGTCATATTTTAATATATTTTCAATGTTTTACTCCTACTTTTGTCTTTTTCCCTAACTAGGGCGGAGGAGGGGTGGGGGCATGTGTCCCCTTAGCGGAATTTTGGCGAAGTGCTTCAAGACCGGCGTCAGAGGATTTGCTGCAAGCAACCGGCAAACGATGCCCCCCGTTGTGCGGCTGCGGTGTGCGTGCAACAACCTTCAACCTCCTCTACGCATTAAGATGTGGGTCATGTTCTCTTCAACTTATTCTAATTACTTATCATCTTTTCTTATTGGATTCAATTCAGATCAAATCAGAAACAACAAAATAATATAATTACATTCAGATCAGATCAGAACATAGTCCAATCATCAAATTAGAATCATTCAAATCAAGTGAAGAAAACATGGTTGCACTCCCGTTAGGTTTTTTTAATTAATCAAAACGGCACAGTTTGGATAAAAATTCGGTCTAAAAGAACATCATATGGTCTTGGGTCAAGCAAACTTCATTTGTGTCTAGTAAATACTCCCATGATATTCTTTTTCACTACTTAACAAAATAATTTGTTTGGTGGTGAATTCAAATTAGAGTTTTGATTAAATTGAGAATTTTGGAAATGCTAAATTTATTAGATTAGGAATTATTTGAATTAAGATACAGAGCACTACTTTCATCCCAAAATATTTGTTAAATTTATTTTTTAAAGTCAAATTAGATGAATTTTGATCATCAATTAAATAAAAACTATATTGAATATTATTTAAAGAAATTCTGTAAATTCAATGACCAATAAGAGTATACAAGAGGTTAATATATAATGTGGATTCCCAGGGCTATACATGGTAGGAATCGTACTACATAAATACAATACTCACAAATAGAAAAGTTAGATCATGCTATAATATGGAAACTAAATCATAGTATTATTATTATTATATTAAATATAGTAATTATATTTAACATGCTCCTTGCGGTGCGGAAGATGAGGAGTGTATGCCAAGATTGTCTCAGAAATCCATAAATAAAAGTGAAAGAAGCCCTTTTGCGAAGATATTTGCAAACTGGGACGAGGATGGAAAATGTAAGACGCGAACATGTCCAAGAGTCACTTTGCCTCTCACAAAATGTATGTCTACTTCGACATGCTTAGCGCACTGGTGCTGTACTAGATTCGTCGAGAGATATACTGCACTGATGTTGTCACAAAACACAATTGTAGCATGCTAGAGGGGGTGATGGAGCTTAAGAAGAAGATTCCGTATCTAGCTATACTCTACCACTGCATTAGCTACAACACGGTACTCAGCTTCGGCGCTAGAACGAGAGGTGGTGGCCTGGCGCTTGGAGGACCATGAGACTAAGTTATCCCCCAAGAAGACACAATACCTAGACGCAGACTTCCTGGTGTCTGGGCAACTGGCCCAATCAGCATCCAAGTATGCCTGAAGCTGATCAGTCCAAGATTTAATGAGAGTGATCCCATGGGCAGGTGTGCTATGAAGATAGCGAAGAACCCATTTTAAGGCGGTAAGATGTCTGGATCTAGGATCATGAAGATAGAGGCAGAGTTGTTGCACCGCATATGTGATGTCCGAGCGAGCGAAGGTCAGATAGTACGTGTAGGGCCCCAACCAAGGAGCAATATGTGGCAGGATCCGCGACTGGTGTACCTGCATCTACGCTAAACTTGCCTTTGGTGTCGACAGGTGTGGAAATAGGCTTGTAGTTTTTCATACATGCGCGCTCAAGTATCTCATGAGTAAATATTGTATGATGAAGAAAAAGACCTCGTGCGGTACGCTGAACATTCACTCCAAGAAAGAAATGCAGGTCCCCATGTCTGACATAGCAAATTCCCCTTTGAGCTTCTGAATAAGCTGGTCAAGTAATATTGTGCTGGATGTCGCGAGAACAATGTCATCAACATAGAGCAGAAGGTATGCCACGTCCGAGTCCTGATGATACATGAAGAGAGAAGTATCAAACTTGCACCCGTGAAACCCCAAAGATTGGATAAAGGTGGCAAACCAGATATACCAAGAGCGTGGGGCCTGCTTTAGCCCATAGAGGGCTTTATCCAATTTGTAGACAAAGTGCAGACGGGCTGGATCCTGGAACCCGGAGGGCTGGCTGGCATAAATAGTCTCCTGAAATGTACCGTGTAAGAAGGAATTCTTCACATCCAGCTGATGAATAGGCTATCCGCTGCTTAAAGCAAGACTAAGTAAAATTCGAATGGTGGCGGGTTTTACCACATGACTGGAAGTCTCATCATAGTCCACACCAAAGCGCTGATTAAAACCATGAACAACCCAACGAGCCTTGTACCTGGATAGCTCACCTGTAGGACGAAGTTTATGACGAAAAAGCCATTTACTAGAGATAACATTTTGATTAGGGTGGGGAAGCACTAATTCCCATGTTTTGTTATTTATCAAAGCATTGCATTCTTCACACATAGCGGCATGCTAATTAGGATCTTTAAGTGCACCACGATAGGTGGGGGGAGTGGGTATATTACGACTGTGCTGTTAAGGTTGAGAATTTGTCTAGGTCGGGAGATTTTAGCTTTGGCTCGGGTGGTCATTGTGGATGGGGTTTGGGGGTGGGGGTGCTAGGAGTGGACGGGGGCGTGGGGGATCGTGGGGGTGTAGGGAGGAGTGAGATTGGCTGAGGGTGGAGTGTGGGCCGTGGGGTTATGAGAGGAGGTGAAGGGGTGTTTTGGTGGTTAGCGGGTGAGTGGTGGGTAGTGGTTGGGGAGTAGTATGTAAATAGTGATGGTGTGGGGGTAAGCCATCCTCCACGGAGTCTAAGAAGGAGAGTTCTTTGCGAGAGAGGGTATGGGGGTAAGGAAAAATAGATTCATCAAAGGTGACATGTCGGGAGATGATGATTTTGTTTGTGGTGAGATTGAGGCAGCGATACCCCTGCTGGTTGACAGGGTACCCGAGGAAAATGCAACGAGATGAGTGGGTGGAAGTTTATGAGGGGCAATGGCAGAGAGGTTTGGGTAACATAGGCACCCAAAAACTCGAAGTTGAGAGTATGATGGGGAGTTGTTGTAGAGAGCTGCATGGGGGCGTTGTTGCGTAGAGTGGTGGTGGGGAGGAAGTTGAAGATATGGGCCGTCATGTTTTGGGCTTCGACCCAAAATTGTGGTGGTAAGTGGTCTTAGAAAAGTAATATGCGGACAGTGTTGTTTATAATACGAATAGTGCGTTCGGCCCGTCCATTTTGTTGACTTGTGTGGGGGCACGAAAAACGGAAGAGAATTCCTCTAGAAGAGAGAAAGTCGGTTAGAGGGAGATTTTTGTATTCTGTACCGTTATCACATTGAATAGTGTGGACGATAGTGTGAAATTGTGCATGTTCGTAAATTAAGAATTTGGCGAAGATAAAAAAACATCAGATTTATGTCGAAGGGGAAAACCCCATAAATAATGAAAGTAATCATCTAATAGTACCATGTAAAATTTAAAATCGGTAACACTGAGAACTAAGGATTGTCATAAGTTCGTATGTAATAACTGAAATGGGAAATGAGAAACACGAGAAGACGAGGAAAACGAGAGACGAACATGTTTTCCTAACTGACAAGCATGACATAAGGTAGACATTGTTTTATTAAAACGAGAAAATTGGGGGTGGGGTACTCCACAGAGAATAGTTGGGCTAGGGTGTCCAAGACGGCAGTGCTATAATCAGAATAATTATTGTCACGGGTAAACTGCCGGACGGAATTCAGATTATGGGTAATGTGGGGGGGGGGGGATTAGTATATGTTTAAGGGAATGTGGGTGTTTAGTGTGCAAAAACAAGTGGTAGTAGTGCGAACTTTAGATCCATTACCAACATTGATATGTGTGGGAGAATAAATGTTTTGAGAAAAAATATGAGAAAGAGTACCTGGATCAGAAGCAATGTGATGAGAGGCACCAGTGTCCATAAGCCAGTTCGGTTCCGAGAGAGACATGGTGTCAAAGCAATGTGCTAGTGCGGTGGGGGTTTGGGGGGGAGGTGGGGTACGTGTTTTGGGCGGGTAGGAGAGGTCTTATAGGGTTGGGTTGGCCTGGCGGCTGGGAAAAGGGGGAAATGAAGTACTAAAAGTTTTTTTTTGGCGAGAATGAATTGATTTACTCCCTCCGTCCTATAATGATCTTCCCAGAGCACTATTCCAACTTCACGGGAATTTATATTTATTTGTGTTTTTTCATGGCCTATATGATAAAATAAAATATTCTTGTCATCACTTGTTTTGTTGAACTTTTGATGTAGTTTTTAAATATGTATGTTTTATTTTTTATTTCTATACCAATATTTAAATAAAATAAATTGAAAAAACTTGGGATTTTTCTTTGTTTTGCGAACCGGGAAGATCATTATAGGACGGAGGGAGTATTTTTCTTTCGCCTTAGATTAATAAAAAGAATTTACTCATTTCTCTCTTTTTTTATTATATGGATTAGTAAGATACAACAAAAAAAGATATATGATAGGTATTGATTTTTAAATGTAAAGTAAGATTGTGAAACACACAAAAGTTACAAATACAATTTGAGATAAAATATAATGACCTAGAAAAAAATAAAAATAGATGAAAAATTTGAAAAAGTAAAGTATACATTTTTAAATAAAATACGAAATTTATAGAATAAATTAATTATTTAAATAATTTTTTATTATTTGTTTTCAATTTTTTCCAGCTTCCTTCATTTTTTCTAACTCCTTTAGTTTCGTTTATACTATGTATGGTTCAAGGAATGTGAGAGGGAATGAGTAAGAAAATTCTTTTCGATTGTCTGGTTAGAGAGAAAAAAAAAGTGGATGAAAAAGAAAATGAGAAGACAAAATATACTAGGAGGATAAAAAATCAAATTTTTTCCACTTTAGTGAGAAAACTAAGGAAAAACTTTTTCCCTTTTTTCAAAATCATTTAATTTTATTTTTACATTATTTTACAATGGCATGCTTTACTATGCACCTTTCTTGTAGAAAAGTGAAATCCTATAAATATTGTGGGTTGCAAGGGCAGGACTATCCTGCTACTTCTTCCCTCGGAGGGAAACCCTAGCTTTCCACCTCAATCAAGCTCCCCAGACCCCATTGGCTACCGGATCTCAGATTTTCCGTTGTATAATTTGAGTTTTTTTTTCCAGCTTAGGTTATATCTGTAGTATATGTGGATCGGATTTAGTTTCGTAGTTTTTCATTATTGTAATTCTCATTCGTCGTAGAATAATGAATGAGATACATGTTTTTTTCCACTTATTTTTGTGTTGCTGTTAATTTCATGCGTGAATCCCTTGTACTGCAACGTTGTAACTGATGTATCATAGAGAGGATTAAGGGGTTTCTTTTGGCGCTGAGAATCATCCATGGAGATGCAAAATTCTCGGAGGCCATTTGACAGATCGAGAGTGGAGCCAGGGCCGAAGAAGCCAAGGTTAACTGAAGATCCATCCGCGGATCGTATATCGAATGGAGGAAGTTTGATACAGACACGCTTGGCGGCCGCCAGCCAGGCAGTTGCAAGATTCAGAGCTAGCGAAAGGGGAGGAGATTCGGAGAACAGTGATTCGGGTCGTGGATCATATCCACAACCACAGCAGCAACACAATCATCAGGAACTGGTTAGTCAGTATAAGACTGCTCTGGCCGAGCTGACTATCAATTCGAAGCCAATAATTACCAATTTGACTATCATTGCTGGAGAGAGTATGACAGCTGCAAAGGCTATTGCAGCCACGATCTGTACCAATATTCTTGAGGTGATATTCCAGATTTAAACATGTGTTCAATTTAGTGTTATATTTCATGATTGTACATGGAAATATCATATGAATTAGATGAGCTCTGTGTAGTTCAGTGTAGCTCAGTGGGCTGTAGGGTATGTATGCCAAATAGTAAACTGATTGTAAAATTGTGCTGATCGAAATACGAGTAACATGGCTTCAAAGCATTATTTTTTATTTTATATAGTTAGCATTGGTTTCAAGAATTATTGTGATTACCGCATTTAATTGCTAGCCGGTGTGGTTTATGTTGCAAATTTGCCCCAAAGTTATGAATTTCAAAAGTGTCAAGGCAATAAGCTAGATGGACGTTGATGCGTATTTTGATATGTTATATTCTTGAATGATGAAATCAGGGCAACATGTTGAATGGCCATAATATTATCAATTTGTGACTCTTGTGCTTCATTTTTGCATTTTCTTTATTTGTTTCATACCGGAAGAACTCACATTTTATGACACATGATTGGCTATCCACATTGCTAGCATTTTCAAACTATTTGCAGCATGTCCTCTGTTGTCACAAATAGAGAATATTGAGAGATGTGATATGATCTAGTGGCCCAGTTAATTTCGATTGTGGCATGCTTGGAAAAGTGAAGAGTGACACAGTGTGTTTGGTGCCATCCCACTATGTTGTTTAAATTAATGAATTGCATAAAGACCTGGGTTTTGATCCTTGAAGATTCTGTTGGGCCTCATAAATTATGGGCAAATGAAGAAAAAATAAGTAAATTGATTTCCATTTCATTAATGTTTGAATTTTGATACTGTATCTTATAATACTCAGTTTGCACTCTGAATTATGTTGCCATACTTATTCTTCTTAGGGAAACATGATATTGCCATGTCAATGGCCCCAAAGTTGTTATGTCATTTCCATGTCAGTGCCTGCGGTGCATTCATAATGCCCCTGATGGGTAGTGCAAATCACTCTCAAGTATCATTTGATACTGCAGGAGGTTTCGTAAACACTTTCAGTATATCTTGAAGAGAATTGTGTAGAAATATGTGTCTATTGTGGTTGTGAAACTCATCCCTTGTTTTACATGCAGAACAAATTGTGTCTCTTTTGAGTTTATTCAGAACACTTTAACACACACACACACATATGGTCTTGGTGCATATTATTTTTATTAAGTTGACCTATATAACCATGTTAGGGCATGTGCTCAACAACAACCAGTCCAATAAAATCCCATAATGCGCTCAGTTGTTATTTAGTACGTACTATGTACTAATTTGCTGTGTTACTTGTATTTTTGGAATCAGTGCATTTACTATGCCCTCTCTCGGTTGCCATTTTAAAAAATAGTAGACTTCCATTGATGTAGTTCTGGAAATTATCTTACAGGTTCCCAGTGATCAAAAGCTGCCATCTCTCTATCTTTTGGACAGTATTGTGAAGAATATTGGGAGGGATTATATTAAGTATTTTGCTATCAGACTACCTGAGGTTAGATAACTGCTATAGTGATTTCCCTGCTGTTGGCCCCTAAACACCGAATTCATTATATTTTTCCACATAAATAAATAATAAAAAACACTGGTTTGAGAAAAGCTCTGCCAGCCTCCCAGTTGGTTGTTACTTTCTCCTTTAGTTTGGCCCTACTGAGATGCCACCTTTTTTCTGCATCTTAGGTTTTCTGCAAGGTGTATAGACAGGTGGATCCATCAATACATTCTAGCATGCGGCATCTTTTTGGAACTTGGAAGGGCGTCTTCCCTCCACTAACTCTTCAATCAATAGAGAAGGAGCTTGGATTTACAGCAGTCAATGGTTCAGCTTCAGGAACAACTAGAAATGATTCACAGACTCCTCGACCTGCACGTAGTATTCATGTGAACCCCAAGTATTTGGAGGCTCGGCAGAGCCTACAGCAGCCAACTAGGGTAAGTTGTATTTCAAGAATCTAAGGTTTGCTTTTTGAAATGAATTGTCCAAAACAATATCATCTCTTGCTTCTACAATGCTACTTTATTTCCATGCTCACATTATTTGATATTTTTGTCTATGATTTCACGACATTTACTTGATGTGTAAATTGTATTCTGTAGATCTTCCATTCCCAAGCAGTAGATACTAGGAATCATAATTCTACATTTATTTAAGAATGATGAGTTTGAAGCAAGATATTCATTGTCTACATTTAAGTTGCATAAATTGTAATTCATGATCAATCTACATCCATGCCTATTGGTGGTAGTCAGTAGTAGCATCTCAGTGCTCATCATGTTATGCCACATGAGTATGTTGAGTTCATATCAAGCTTTTGCATCTCAAGATTTTATTCTTTGTGTTGTATAATTGCTGCTATCACCACTACTACTACTACATTTTCTTTCAATTCCTTAATTTTCTCTCCACCATGTGTTTTAATGTGACAAAAAGGCAAAAGGAACTACTGCTGGCATTAGTGCAACTTTTGTAAGCTCACCTGATGATGTGGAGAGATTGGAGAGGACAGCCAGTGTTAGTTCTGGTCCTGGAAAATCTTGGGGGGATCCTTCTATTAAGGTTCAGTAAAATATGCAAGTTTGGGAATTTCTTCATTTATTAAGTGGATTAATCTTCATTAAATATTAGCATATGAGTCTTTAAATTTTTGTGCTGCAGAATATTCAGAATGTTCAGATAAGTCATTTGAATGAACCTGTCCTTGAGAAAACGTTAAATGTGGAGAGAACTGCAAATATGGCATATTCAGACCCTGCATATGGTTCTGAGATATCAAGGCGGCCTGCTTTACATTCAGAAAGAAATAGTGAAAAATATAAGAAGCAAGGTTTTGATAAACCATGGTATGATTCTGAGAGCAGTGCCACAGGTATAATATCCGGTGAAAGGAATGGTTATGATCTCAAGCATGGCCTTCAAAACTATCAGACCCGCAAATCTTCCAGTGCTGAAGCATATATGCACACTGCACAAGATTCTACCAATAGAATTGGTCCTGGATTGAATGGGAGTTGGAAGAATTCTGATGAAGAAGAATATCCGTGGGATGATATCCATTCAAGATTGCCCAACCATGCTATAGCCAAAAACTCACTAAAAGACCACTGGGCAACTGATGAATTTGAAAGAATGGTGAGTTTGTCTGTGATGAATTGTGTGTTAGGCTTAGTCATGTTCCAGGTTTTTCAATATCAATCATGTAATGGGCTTGCAGATAACACATATCGCAACTCCGCTGCCCTCATAATATTTTTCATGCATGTGTAGACCTGGAAAAAAATAACCCGACCTGTTTTTGACTCGAAACCCGACCCAAAAATATTGGGTTTTGAATAAAGGTTTTGTTGACCGAACCCAAAGTTGACCCTACCCGTAATGACCTGCTAAAAATGGGGCAAACCCGACCAAACCCGAACCATTAAAATATAATGTCATAAAATAAGGTTATAATTATATTTTTTCTTACTAATTTTTTAGTGCATAAATTTATATTTTCAGACAAAATTTTAATGATATTGCATAATTATCTTACTTTTTTCCAAAAATTATGCATTTTTAACATTTCTTATATTGATTTATATACGTAAAAATTACTTCAAAGTTTAAAATAAAATAATACAATAGATTTAACACGTATTTTTGATATTTTAATTTCATTTAATGCAAAATGTAGGTGTTAATACAAATCTAAAAATTTTTAAAACCAAAGTCATAACCCGTTGGGACGACCCAAACCCGATGACATTGGGTCATGAACATACTGTTCTCAACCCGAACCCGAATTGACCCAAACCCATAGTAACTCAAACCCAAACTGACCGAACCCAAACCCAACCTACCGACTGATTTGCCAACTCTATTAGCATGTGGAAGTAGATGATGGTGATGAGTTTAGGCATTTTATCTAATTATTCCTTTTTACGAAGGTTGCTATGCAAAGGGCATCTGTCATAAAATTTTTCCACTACGCTTTTTGCGTGGAATTAGTGTTAGCGGATCTTATACAATTAATTGACAATAAATGGCCCCAATCTCAATTAGTTGGGAATAAAGAGTTAAGGTGCTTGCAGAGACAATGGCGATGATCTACTATTTATTCTCTGTCCTTGTTTGATCCCGTCTTCTTCCATTTTTGCATATCTCATATTGTCAATTGTAGCACGTTACCTTCTCTGAGATGTATTGTTAGTTTGGTTTGTCGTAGTCATAAACCATTATTACTCTTTGAGGTTGTGGCTCATACTGTGATATGCAGGAGTTGCAAGCCCAGCCAAGAAGAGTGCAAAGCAAAAGGGATGCTGGTGGATCAGGTTTCAATCATGATGCTTCTATTTCTTCAGTAGCAATCAAACGCCAATCAACTTTAGGAGGGGAGGGGTCACCACTGTGGCCAAGAGAACCACACGTTTTAGATGGTGTTACTGTTCCAGTACTTCCCGCTAGAGACCTTTTGAGGCAGTCTGCTGAAGGCTATGGTACTTCTTTTAATCGGTTGTCAAATTCCCAAACAAAATTTGGACTGTCCTCAAATGCTCTTCCTTTGGAAAAGGAGTCTCGTGCTGCTGCATCTCCCTCTGCACACTCACCTATGCACCAGCTTTCACCATCACCATCTAATGATCAAGTATCATTCAACATGGCAGAGCAAGACAATGCAGACACTAGCACTTCTCAATTTTCAAGGAGGTCAAGTTTAGATCCCCGTCAGAGGTTTTATCAGGATACTCTTTCTAGCAGTACTGATTTTGGCAGTAATTCACAGAGAAAAATGTCCCCAGGTTTATCATATTCTTCTCCAATGATGATATCTTCTCAAGGAAGGGACCATTCTCCATTCTCTAAGCATTTAGATCCAAAACCTAAGGTGGCTGAATATCTGGACCAAGGCAGGAGACAGCCGATTTCTCAAATTTCAGGTGCAACTGAACTATCATCACTTCCTGGGGGTTCTGCACCTGGCCACTCAAATATTCCTTGTGCTGAACCCCCCTTGCAAGCAACTACTAGCAGCTTGTTAGCTGCTGTCATGAGCAGTGGCATATTGGGTACTAATCCTGTGACAATTGACAACTCGGCCAGATCAAACTCCGAGGATGCAGGGTCTTTGTCATCTCAATCAGATTCTCATCCCATTCCATCAACTATGAAGAGCAAACTTGCTGCTGTTATAAGCCGGCCTTCAGAGGGAAATGCATCAGTTCTCAGTACACGTTCCAAGGGAGGACACATGGAAAGACCACCTTTGCCACCTAGCCGAATTTCTTCTCTCCTGGCTAGTGAAAATTTGGCTGGTGCTGGCTCTAGTCCAGTGTCAAGCCTTTTGAGTACATTAGTAGAGAAGGGACTGATAACTTCATCGAAAGAACAGTCCCCAGTTCCTATTGATTCACGTGTAGATCCTCAAATTCCAAGCCAGAGTCCAACTGTAAATACTAGTTCGGAAACTGCTTCAGCATCTCCTGTCTGTAAAGAAAATCCGTCATTGTCAACGGAGTGCGACCAGTTTTTTGCAAAACCTGTTGTTAAAACTTCTGATAGCTTACGGCAGCCCATTTCAAGAGATCAGAATGGTTTGATCGGTGTTGTTTTTAAGCCAGATGTTATTCGTCAACCACATCCGGCAGTGATCAATGAACTTTTAGATGATCTTCCTCATCGGTGCCATACATGTGGTCATAAACTTAAGCTCAAGGAACAACTCGACAAACATTTGATTTGGCACGAATCCAGAATTTCAGATGTGGAAATGTTGAGTAAGGCTTCAAGGAAGTGGTATGTAAATTCAACAGAATGGGATTTCGGAAATGCTACTAGTTTCAACGAATATCCCGACGGGAGTCCGGAATGTACCGAGGAGATGGTACCCGCTGATGAGAGCCAGTGTTTATGTATCTTATGTGGTCAGCTTTTCGAGGATGTTTTCAGTGTTGAAATCGATCAGTGGATGTTCAAAGGCGCTGTTTATTTGAGTAGTCAGTATTTTGCTGACAAGACACCTAGAACTGACATGGGTCCTGCTCTGGGTCCTATTGTCCACATAAACTGCATTACTGAGACTTCTCTTCATGATTTGGGGCTGGTAAAGGATGATATTAAACAGGTAAATCTTTCTTTGATGTGAATGTCCCATAAACCCAATCTCTAACTCTCCAGGATACTCCTTTCACAAAAATCATTCTACTTTCCCTTTTTTATGCCAAAAAAACTTCCCAATTCATTTTCTTTTAAAGATATAAACATGTGGCTCACAAAATTTCTCTCATCTAAACAAATTCCAACCATTTTTTTCTTTTCAACATTTCTCTTAAACTTCGTGGAAGTCAAACCAGAAAGTTTTTTATGAGATGTGAAACAAGTATATCCTATAATGTCAGAATTTGTACTCGAGGTATATTTCATCAAATACAATGATTGCTTGAAGCTTTGTTTGGGATTTCATATTTCATATTTATTTATTTATTTACTGATTTCATAAATCCTACACTGCTCATTGAATAATAACTGCTATCCCTTCCAGGAAGATTAATGCCTGAGAGTGCTGTAAACTCTGGAGATCGGACACTGCATATATTTTGAGGTTTAGATGTGTTCATACAGGGCAAATCCATGGCTCGTTAGGCAATTACCGGATTTTATTCGAGTCTAGAAGAGGTTGCATATCATCGAAAGCTACACATCGACCCGCAGAGGAGCCTCAGGTGGAGCCCATCTCCCAGAAGAGAATTTTGTCCACTAAAGAAAGGTCTCGTAGTATTATAATTTGCCCGTTAGGCATCGTTCGTGAGCTTTAAATATGGCCAGTGATTATTTCTTGTGAAACATCTTATTTTTCACATTATCTCTGCGTTGGAACACACAGAAAAAACAAGGGGGAAATGCTTGGTCACTGCATCCAGTTGTTGTATACGAGTAAATCAAAAAGGGAAAAAAATGAACAGATATTGAGAGAGATGGCTTTGTCTTGATTTTGTCATTTGTTCTTTTTTCAGACGAAATTGGTACCGCAATGTGCCTCTAGCTTCTAGAATAGCAAATCAGCAATCTTTTGAACTTGAACCGATGTACGGAGTATTTATTGGAGTAAATTTTACTCCTTTCACTCAAAACAAAGTTTTTCCTTCACCATTTACAAGGTTATATATATTTCCTTTGGCACTTTGATAAAATCAAATATTTAAATAATCACTTCTTTGGTTAAATAAATCTCCTTTTCTGAGTAGTTGTCTATTGTTGATTTTTTTTTTATAGTTAACTATCTTCAATATTTAATCTGTAATTACATACTACCTTCGTCCTACTGTTTTTGTCCACTTTTGACTTTTGGAACTGTTCATCTAAGCATTTTGACTCATCAAATTCTCTCAATGTGTAAGCCTAAATATAGTCATGTGTGATCTTGTTTGATTTGCCTTAACATATAGATTATTAATTTATGATTTCTATAATTTTTTAATATACAAATTACAACATAAAATGGATTAAAGAAGTGCATTGGATGGTGTGCCAAAAGGTAAGTGGACAAAGACAGTGGGACGGAGGGAGTAGATTATATACTACATATTAATTAAATAAAATAGTATTTTGAAAATATTTTATAGAATAAACCTAATAAAATTATTTTTGTAACGATATTTAATATCATTTTTATTTAATTTATGATCAATTTTTTTTTAATTTAGACTGAAAAAGTTAAAAATAGACAAGTGGAAGTATTTGATTAAGCTTTTAAATATAGTATTTTTTTTAGTTTGAATCAATTTTCAAATTTACTCTGTATTAAATTTTAGATAATTCCAAGCATGCACTTTAAAATCAATGTGAGAGCTTTATTCTCAGAACAGAGGTAAAAATTTTTGAGTTACAATATATTAAAAGTGCCTACACTCTTAGACTTATAGAATAATGTTAGGATACTATCACGCGGGTGCTACCATGGGCGCACCCATACTTTATGTGTCGCACAGACAGTTAACGTCTAAGTTTATAAGTGTCTAGTTGGCTCACTCTTCAAGAACGCAACCTCTCTTTCCTAGTTTTGATTTTGTACCGCCATTTAAAATTATTGTTCGACTTAGAACATCTCCAATCATTAAGTTTTGGCTTATAAATGTCATAATTTGGCAAGCCATTTCAAATTTTATGCTCTAAGCGGCTCACTATATTATACGGAGTAGCACACTTGGTAAATTTTAACTTGGACTTGTTATATATAGCAAGCCTTTTAAAATATAACAAAGTATGGTATTGATTAAATATTTGATTTCTTTCTCTCCTATTCTCTCACTCGCCTCAAAATATTTAGATATTTCTAAAGTTTTTTACTTTTCGTTAAGTGTTTATCTCTAATCTTTAATTGATATTTTAGAATAATTAAAATATTACTCTGTATTTATTATTCTACCTAAAGTAAAATAATACCCTGTATTATTTTTTAAATTACATATTACTTAATTGTTATGATATAAAATAATAATTTAATAATTATTATAAGTAGCGTGTTATAATAGTGAAAATAATAGAATTGTTAGCTAAATCCCTTTGGTTCTCATGAGATTGAGAATCAATCATGGGATGACACGGGGATGCTTCGGTACCTTGTTCATAAAATTGACGGTTCCTACCCTCTCTTATCCCTAGTAAACCCCCACCCTGCCCTGACCCGAACACATCCCCCATCCCCTTAAATTGCACACTTCCAAATTAATTTTGACTTTAGAGTCAAATTTTGACTCCAAAATCAAAAATCACTTAGGGAGTGCAACTGAAGGGGGTAAGGGGTGTGTTCGGTCGAGATGGGCTGGAGGGGTTTACCGGGGGAGTTAAGGGGTTGGAATCGTCAATTTTAATAACGAGACACAGGAGCACTCCTATGTCATCCCATGACATTGATTCCTAATGTCATTAGAACCGCCCATAGCTAAATTATAACAAGGAAAGGTAGGAGATGATAATGCAAAATGGATTGCTAAACCATAGTTCACATGCTAAACAAACTTTAGCAAGATATGTTTAGCAAGTTTGGTTGGAGATGTTCTTAGGGTCGCCCTTTATCGAGGTCTTAGACCTGACAATCGAACAAATAACATTGATTTCAGTTTGGATTTTTTCGATTTGATATCTTTCGGATATATGTTATAGTCGTTTCTCTTTGGATCGGTTCACTTTGATTTCAGTTCAGATTTATTTTGGTTCCATATAGTGTTTGGTTCGATTCAGTTCCAGATTGGTTCGGATTGGTTGAAGATATTTCGGTTTTAGATATATTTCGATTTGGAAATATTTTGGATATATGTTATTTTCAAATTGAAATTTAATACTCATGTGCTTGCACTAATTGATCGAGGATCTACGTTATCATATGTTTACATCCCTTAAAATATTTTAACCTTCGTCTCAATTTCTGTTACAATGTGCGAGGACTTATTCTGTCACAGTGTTTCCGTCATTGCAATTTCTGTTATAATGTGCGAGGACTTATTCTGTCACAGTGTTTCCGTCGCAAATAGAACTAATTCTTCTAGTGCATATATACATCGTATAAAATTAATTGTACTACTTAAAACATACTCTCTCCGTCCCTAAATAGATTACAATTTTTTTCTCTCTCCTCTCGATAACTTTTGTTTGTTTACGCGATTTCATTAAGTATTTGATAAAATAAAATATTCTTGTCACCTCTTGTTTTGTAGAACTTTTGACGTAGTTTTTTAATATATAATTTTTATTTTTTATTGATATACCAATTTGTAAATAAAATGATTTCAAAAAATAGAAAATTTTATTCCGTAACCCGCAATTTGTAATCAAATTGGGGACGGAGGGAGTACTAGGAATACTATACTATTTTTTTGACAGAGTATTGTTTTAGTAGTAATAAATATGAGCCCAAAGTGAAAATGAGTTACCTCTCTCTTATGTATTTTATACGGTTTTCTTATCTAATAATTTCAAGCAATGATAAGCAGGACAAATCAAACCCGTTTCATTTTATTTCGATCTCGAATAATAAGGTACAAAGGGAGATAGGTTTGTGACCCATGCCTTTTGAATAAAGCCAAGCAAGACGATACAACTCAATTGGAGCATGCTACATGTACCCATAGTTTTGTATCCCATTTGTACATCTAAAGTATGCATCAACATTTAAGTGGTTCACACTGACACAAAGTGTTGGTGCGTTAACAAAAATTTACACTGACACAAAGTGTTGATACGTTAACAAAAATTAGCATTACATTAATACAAAATGTGGATGCATCTCTGCATTTTAGAAAATGAGGTACAAATTATTGGGATACAAATAGGTTAATCCAATCCAATTACTCAAAGTATTGGTCTTGAGGAGGAGGAAAAGTCAAAAGTCCCAATCCTCCTATATACAATGCTAGGTGAATTTCTCCGTGAATAGTGTTCCCGCCTAAACAAGGTGGACCTTGCTGCGGTTTTGGGCATGCATTGGTATACGGAAATGGCCTGCTTTGGTGTCTATTCGAATCTCCTTTTTTGCTTTATGTCCACTCATTACCATCTTCTATAAAGTTACATTGATAACATAAATTTGGTGGCTCCAAAAAGGTGATTTTAAAAAAAACTTTGTGTCACTTCAATCTATTTTAAAGATTTTTAAAATCTAAACCAATTAATGCATGGTTACATGTATCATGGAGCATGATTATAAATACTCAAGCATTATGAGGTAAACTTCATTCATTCCAAATTCACTTCTCAAATTGTGTGTGTGTCTATATATATATTCTTACTCTTGAAATATAACATATATATATATGATGAAAAAAATGATGAAAAAAAATGATGAAAAAAAAGATGAAAAAAATGATGAAAAAAATTGATGAAAAAAATGATGAAAAAAAATGATGAAATATATATATATATATATTCTTACTCTCGAAATATAACATATATATAGATATTCTTCCTGAATAAAAAAATGATGAAAAAAATTTATTCGAGATCCAAAATGAGATTAAAAAATTGAATTATATAATTAAAATTTAAAATAAAAACACCACAGGGATTTTATATATATATGTGTGTGTGTGTGTCTATATATATTCTTACTCTCGAAATATAACATATATATATGATGAAAAAAAATGATGAAAAAAAATGATGAAATATATATATATATATACTTACTCTCGAAATATAACATATATATATATATATATATATATATATATATATATATATATATAAAGATCTAATAAATACATATCTAAAGATCTAAAGAATATATAGATCCCGTAATGTAAATCGGAAGATATATTTATGCGATGAACACAAAATAATAAATCACACGAAACCAAACTGGATTTGTTTAAGTGAAAATAAGATTTAATCCAAATTGTGCCCAAATCGTGCAAAAATTTGATGTTGAACAAAACAAAGTTGGAAATGAAACCATACATGTATGCACCGCCAAAAACAATCAGTTGGTGGGAGAAATGTTGGAGACAGATCCGAAAATGGTAGTAGGGTAGCGACACGGAGATGAACAGAGATGAGCGGTAGAGAGATGGTGGGGGAGCGGCGGAAGAAAAGAGAGACGTGTGGGAGTATTAGGGTTAGAAAATAAGGCTTTATATATCAATTCACTCCTGGGCCATTTAAAATAATTGGGCCGGACGAATTTTGGGCTACTAATGCTGGTGGGTTGTCTCTTATATTTAATGTATTTTATATATTATATACTCCTTCCGTTGTGCGTTACAATGTTTGACTGAACTAATTTTCAAATCATTTTATATGAAAATTGGTGTAAAATTTAAAATAAAAATTACTTATTAAAAAAACTATATCAAAAAATTTACAAAAATAACAAAACTAGATGTGACATAATTATATTATTTTATCAAATGAGTGACGAAAATATGACAACAAATTGAATAAAGTTTGACCCTATAATATTAAAAGGGAAATTTATTTGTGGACGGAAGGAGTATTAAATTTTAATTATTATAAAAAAAATAATCATGCATTAATTAGATAGATAAACAAATATTTTTGTTTAAAAAAAAGATAAACAAATATTTTGACAGATTTGATAAATTATGAGAAAGAAGGAATTCGTAAAAAGATAAAGAGAGAAAGATACATAGAAATGAAGTTCGGAACAAGAATCTTACATCCATAAACGAAGATCCATTCAACGGCGGCGTAGAGACAGACACGAAGGGAGCGAGACAGGTGACGACGGAAAAGGAGCGACCGAGAGAGAGATTCGGGTTTTCGTTTTGGTAGGGAAGCTCGGGTATGGATTTAATTTTGTCAGGTCAATTTCACATATTTAAATTTTTCAATTCAGATTCAATTAAAGATTTAATCGGGTTGGTTACTGTCAAATACGTCCATTTTTTGTTATTTTATTTAACATGTCTAAAAATTTATTTTAATAAATTTCTATTAAAAATAATATATTATTTTTAATATATTTTTATACATGTTGTTTTGATGAATTTTTGAAATGTTAACTATTTGTATGTCTATTTTGATTATGACAAATGTTAGTTTTTTGTTATGAAATTTCAAATTTAAAACTATAATAACAATGTATCATTATCTACGTTTACAAGAAATGGACAACGTATTTCTTTTTATTGTTAATTTTTTAAGTAAAACATCATATCTTCCATGTTTGTATGCATATAATGATTATAATGAGTATTTGTTTTTTTTATGAAATTCTAAATTTAGAAGGATAAATATTAGCAATGTATCTTTCTCTACGAATGTAGTTTATAAAGAAGTGTTCCAAAACTTTTAATAATTCATATCGACTTTGCTCATTACTGTATAGAATTTCCTTTTTGGGGAATAATATTAAATTATGTAATCTTTCCAATTTTGTAACATTTTCCATTATTTCAAACATTGACTAAATATATGTAAATTAATAGTCCGTGCATCGCATCGCACCTGTAGGAGTCTAGTATTTTCACCTGTGTGTGTGTGCTCTCATCCGCTGGTGTCAGATTCTCCTCCTCCTCCACCGCCTTAGTTCCTTCCTTACTCACTAATCTTTCTGCCCCTTCAGATATTTTCCGTTTCTTCTTTGTCGCCTTTTGCCAATGAATGGATCCCATCTTCTCTGCTCTCTCTCTCTGTATATATATAAATACTCAATCTTGTTCCGCAAGAATCCATCTTTTCTTCTTCTTCTTCATTTTCTTGACATTTTCCTCTTCTTCGACTAAAGAAATTACAGAATCTATGTATGAATCCCGAAGAGGCGATTCTCTGCTCGACCCGACCGTCGCCCTCGGAGCTCGATCCGTTTCCTCCGGAACAGGCGCGCGCGCCGTCGCCTGAGCCGCTCGAGTGCCTGCTGGAGGCGCCGGTGCCGGCGTTCCTGTCCAAGACCTTCGATCTGGTGGAGGACCCGTCTCTGGACGCCATCATATCCTGGGCCCCGACAGGGGAGAGCTTCGTGGTGTGGGACCCGGTGGAATTCGCCAGCTTTATTCTTCCCCATAATTTCAAACACAGCAACTTCTCCAGCTTTGTTCGTCAGCTCAATACATATGTGGGTACACACTCACACACAAATATATATCCACTTTGGCTGCTCTTCTTCTTCTTCTTCTTCTTCTTCTTCTTATCTTTTCATGTAATTCTGTCCCTGGGTTTTTTGTGCAATGTATTTTCCTTTGAATTGTTTTGCTTATTTTTTTTCCTTGTTGTAATTGAGATAGAGATGATGAGGTGTAGTAGATGTTAGGGGAAGTTTGTAAAGGTTTTATGGAGTAATAGAGTAGTTATTTTAGGGGAATCAAAGAAATCCAGTGGGTGAATTTGGGATGAGCTGCAGGGGGCTTCATCCATATTTTTGCAGGTAGAGTTTATGGTTCGGATAAACACTAAATATGTTCTTGATTTGGATATGTTTCAATTGCAATTGATTGCATATGATTTCTTGGTTTGTATATACTGTGAATGAAATGTGATTATGACATTATGTTTAATTTGCAGTTGATTTGACTATGTTTAATTTGCAGTTGAATGAATACTTGTGATTTCTTGGTTTCTATTGGAAATGAAATGGATCAATGATTTCTTACTTTTTTGTCCAGAGGCACTTGGGTTGCTTTGCCTGCATATTACTGCATTTTCTTTTCTGTTAGCTTTAGATGGACTTTTTTTTCTCCTGATGGATAAATTTGGACACAGGGGTTCCGAAAAATGCATGCTGAGAGGTGGGAATTCGCGAACGAAGGGTTCTTGAGAGGGAGGAGGCACCTGCTGAGGATCATCCAGAGGAGAAAACCGCCGGGCTCTTCTGGACTTTCGCTGGAGGTGGAGATGGGTAAAATGAGGATGGAGAGGGTAGGTATGATGCAGGAAGTGATGGAGTTGCAGAAGGAGCAGCTGGGGACGGTCGAGGACCTGGAAGTGGTGAACAAGAAGCTGCAGGCTGCCGAGGAAGGGCAGAAGCAGATGGTTTCTTTCATGGCCAGACTGTTGGGTCAGATGAAGAAGATGAAAGAACCAAATGCCATAATTGCTCCTCCAAGAACGACAACGGGGAGGATGAAGAGGTTTGCGAAGCACAATCCCAAAGAAGCAGGAATGGGCAGCAGCCTATTGGGATCTGATAAAAGAGTCATTTTTGACAACGCTTTAGCTTCTGGTAAATAGTGAAAGTAAATCAAAATGGAACATTTTGGGCAGTAAATGCAGCAAATCATAAGGGTCTAAAATCGGAAACGACCTCTCTGTTTTTTTTACAGGGGTAAGGTTACGTACATATCGACCTGACTAGCCCCCACAGTGTTGGGAGTGTTGTACTAGGTTTGTTGTTTTTGTTGTTGCAGGGTCACATGAAAGGGAAATGGAACATCCTCTTCCTCCTCTTAAACCCGAAGGGATGAACGGTCTCCCCAGTTTGTCGCCGGTTAAAGAAGAGGACGTTTGGAGCATGGGTTTTGGAGATCTTGGGAGCTATGGCACTGTGGTAGGATTGGGAGGAGGAGGAGGAGCCATTGGTGCAATGTCAGATGTGTGGGTGGACACTGATCCATTGCAGGCTGCCACTAGTTCAGATATGGAAATGTATACTTCTTATGGAGAGCCTGCAGATTATATTTAGTTCTATATACATAAATAAATAAATAAGAGATCATTGATGCCTTGAGATCTTGCCATTGTTTAGCTGGTTTGCATTCACTATCATAATGCCTAGTGCCTATTCCTCCCTCCCTAAATAACACTTAAATTGTTTTATTCCCTAAATAGCACTTCACAATGTCCATAATGTTCAATGATGACTAATATTTATTTGAATAATGACTAATAGAAAATGATTAAAAGGTGCTAGATTGGGAAAAAAACACATGTGATACTATTTAGGAAAAATCATTACGTTTTAGTGCTATTTACATAAATTTCCCTTATTACTATTCTTATTACTACTATAATTATTATTACTATTATTATTATTTCTATTATTATTATTATTATTATTATTGCTTTTATCATCAATATTTCTATTATTATTATTACTCGTATTATTAGTACGGAGTATTATTATTATAGTTATTATTATTATCATTTCTATTATTACTATTATTATAACTGTTATAATGATAATTTTAAATTTAAATCATATTAGAACAAATCCAATCAGATCCAATTAGATCTGATCAGAACTTCAAAAAATCAGATTGGATCTGATCAGGCGAACGGAACTCAACCTATATCTATTCAAGTTTGATTCGGTTGGGATTATTTTACTTGTCCACTTATATTCTTTTCATTGATAGTTACTAATATTGCAAATTTATTTGCTACAAGTAATTTTTACAAAAAAATTTTGACTACAAATTTTTAAGTCAAATTTTTTGTGATCTTTAAGTTCATAGATAAAATGTACACTTTATCACAAGAGTATATCATATATGTTTTTTGTGATCTTTAAGTTCATAGATAAAATGTACACTTTGTACATTCTTGGCTACATATATATATTACTTTGTACATTCTTGGCTACATATGTTTTATGGAGTATTAACATATCCATAAAATTACTACTCGAGCCATAAATCAGGGTGGACAATACAAATGAACACCATAAAGTTGAGGTGAAAGTTTTAAGTTAATATTTTCTTGTGCATCACACTGTTGGAATGCTAGTAGGAATGAATGAACCAAATTTTTCAAGGGAAATTAAAATTAAATTGATAAATTTTTGAGAGATTAAAACATATACACGATATTTAAATAGAGGGAAAGCCTTTTTGCAAAAATAGTAATTTAACATGAATGATATAATTTTAAAAAATGAGAGGGATCAAAAATAAAATTTGCTAATTTTGTAGGAACTAAAAGTATTAGCCAAAAAGAATGGTGGCTAAAAGACTTTTTCTTGACCTGATCTGATGAGATCTGATTTGATTTTATTAAAATTTAATTTAATTTTAGTTATATTTTTTTAACACTAATTTTAGTCATACTCTCTTCGTCCATTAGTTTCTTTCTCATGTTTTCTTGATCCTTCTAATTTATTTTGTCAACTAGATTTTACTGAATGTCTCATCATACCCATACTTTTTATCTACACCATTTACTTAATTCCACCAAATTAAGGATAAAATGGACATTCTTTACACTTTTTAATTTTTCGTAATCTCCGTGCCAAATCCCTACTGTTGTGGGATTCAACTGGGTTGTTGTTGTCCGTGCCAAATCAAAATGAGAATTTTTTTGGAGGGAGAGAGTACTTGACATTGTTTGTTTATAATATGATTTAGTCTAATCTAAATCTATAATCTCTTTGTAGCTTGGGTTAGTGGAAAGCAGTCAAATGAAAAAATGGGTTAAGCCCATTCGACCTTCTTTCAGACGCGCAGCACAATGGGGTGGCCCAATCCTAACTTTTTACCATGGTCTGCGACACACTTTATCGTGTATTCGTGTAACCTCTCCGCCTTTTATATATACTCGCATTCTATCCTTTTCATCTAACCCTAGAAGAAGACCCTATAGCCCGAACGCTCCCTCTCTCTGTCTAAAACCCTAACTCTCTCTCTCTCTCTCTCACTCGCTCTCTTCTCGTGCAGCAATGGAGTTCTGGGGTAATGTTCTTTCTCTCCGTCTTTTTCTCATTGTTTCTGGGTTGAATCTCTCATCGTCCCGGAGATGATCTCCTTGATAGTGTTTTGTCATGTCTGTTGCTTATCTCTCTGTTTTTGCATTCCCTTTTCCATGTGTAGCGTATTCACATATGATCGCGGCATTTCGTTAGGTTTAGCAGTCTTTTTTCTTCATTTCCTCTCATATTTCGTGTTCATTGTTCGTTTATTGTATGCTTCTCTGTGCGCGCGATTGTCTGTAGTCATGAATGTAAGTTCATTTTTAGCATCGAAATGAAATTAGCTGCTCTGTATTATTAAAATGGGTGTTGGTTTGGATGTGGATCCCGTTTGAGATGCTGATGAAAGAAATTGCTTTTGATGCCCTGATTGAAGCTTTGTTACTTCCTTGGCATCCTCTTGTAATCTTCTTGTGACAGTATTTGATATATTATGGTCTTTGGACATTTACAGGCATTGAAATCTAGATGCGATAAATGAATTTCAACATTGTTGCATTTGCTTATCGTGTTTAGTGATTGTGTTATGTCTGATTAAAAATTACAAAGTCTCCAGGTTTTAAAATCTGTTATGGATTGTATCCTGCAACCACTTACAGAGTGACATGTTCATTTTATAGGTGTTGAGGTTAAAAGTGGACAAAATCTTCCGGTGTATCCTGGTGATATCCAGGTCATACATCTTTCACAGGTCAGCTAGCTATATCACTATAAATGTGGTTGTTCAAGTATTTTTTGTATCAAATTTTATGTTAATATTTATTATCTACAGTCTAATATTGGTGAGCTTAAGAAAGAAAAGGGAGGTGAATCCATTTCCTTGTATGTGACTGTTGATGGGAAGAAACTTGTTCTTTCTACTCTCCACACAGAGAAGCTCCCTCAGCAGCAATTCGACTTGATTTTTGATAGAAAATTTGAACTATCACACAACTGGAAAAATGGAAGTGTCTTCTTTTATGGATACAGGGCTGTTAAACCTGGCGAATATCCTTTATTATAATTTTCTTATCTTTTGTTGTTCAGTTTTGCAATGGCATTTTAACGTTCTGTTTGAAACTATGTTTTGTTAAAACCTTAACATGTTCTCTTTTGTGCTCACTGAGTCTGATGATGAATTAGGTAAGCTTGGCCATCTCAGTTGTTACACTTTTTGTTTCATTTTCTAACAATATTTCACCCATGTGGGCACTAATTTACTTTTAATGTACAGATAGTGATGAACTTGATGCATTCATTGGTATGTAGTGTGAAATTTGTCTTTCTCTGATCAGGATTCTGCTATTTCTTATCATCTAACATTCTAACTCTTACTCTGGTGATTCTGAATTCTAGAGACACATCACCAGCCAGAGATTAAGACACCTGCCATACCAGAAAAAGAAAGTGCTGCCAAGGAATCTGCTGCTGCACAAGAAAAGGAAAGTGCTGCTAAGGAATCTGCTGGCAAGAAGAAGGTGAAAATATCCGAACCAAAGAAAGTACAGGAGGAAGGTGAAGATGATGAAAGCAGTGATGAAGATGAAGACATGGATGCTGACGATGATGATTCCGATCTTGAGTTAGATTCGGTAATATTTTTATTTAATATCATTTGACCACCAGTTCTATGCTCTTATTATTATCATTATCATTATTTGTTCAACTTTTCTTTTTAAGAAATAATGTGTACTGGCTTCTTGTCATTTTTTCTGTGGGCTTTATAGTTTTCACTTCTGATTTGCAAAATAACAACTTAATTAAATATTTCATGTTCTTATTTTTGGAACCTTGCAGGCTTGTTTTTTTGCTGAGAATGCATGGTTTATTACTAAATATATAGATATTTTGCATGCAATGTGCATTTAATATTGTCATGAAATTGGTTTGAAATATTTGATTTACTTTCAACTGCTGTGCTTATCTATAGAGTGTTGTTTGTAGGATGAAGATGAAAGTGATTCTGAAGATGAAGAATCAGAGGATGAAGAGACTCCAAAGAAGGTAACGTATATGAGAGTAATGTGGCTTTACTTAACCTATTGATTCCCTTAAGTTATTTGTTTTACTTAACATGGTTGAAGGTTCAAAGTGGGAAGAAGAAGCCTGCAGAATCTAAAAAGACAGATGAGGAATCAGAGGATGAAGAGACCCCAAAGAAGGTAACATCTATGAGAACTATGTGGCTTTACTAGCCAATTGATTCCCTTTGCGTTATTTGTGTTTACTTTACATGGTTGAAGGTCCAAAGTGGCAAGAAGAAGCCTGCAGATTCTAAAAAGAAATCTGCTGTCCCCGCAAAGAAGGTAAACTTGGTCAATAACATCTGAATGATTCTAATTTTTTCTGCTGGGCATAATAGTTGCTTTTACTTCTGATTTGCGAAGTAGTAATTTATTTTTTAAAAATTTCAAGTTTTTTTTGTTTTGGGATTTGCTTGTTTGTTTTTTTGCCATAAAAGTGTCCAAGGATGCATGATTTATTACACGGTGTAATTAATTAGATATTTAGGGACACCACTAGATCATGCGTGCAATGCGTATTTGGAATGTTATGAAATTGGTTTGAATATTCTGCTTCATTTTCTACTGCTTTGTCAATCTAATGCTTTTTCTGTGTTTAGGATGAAGATGAAAGTGATTCTGAAGATGAGGAGTCTGAGGAGGAAGAGACCCCAAAGAAGGTATAATATATATGCAAAGAATGCTTTTTTTATTAACCATTGATTCGCTTGCAATATTTGTTTAACTTGTACATGGATGAAGGTCCAAAGTGGCAAGAAGAGGGCTGCAGAATCTTCAAAGAAAACTCCTGCAAAGAAGGTGAAGCTTGCCACTCCTCAGAAAACTGGTCAGTCTCTTCTCCAATGCTCTGCTTTTCATCAACAGGTTTGGTGTTTCCTCTCTAAGTGTTTGCTTTGATGAAATGCTCAGATGGGAAGAAAAGCAATGATCATGTGGCTACACCACACCCTTCCAAGAAATCTGGGAAGACAGCTGGTAAACAGACCCCAAAATCAGCAGGCTCTCATAAGTGCCAGAAATGCGATAGGTAAACACAGGAAGTGATCATCTCTTAGTTTTGAGTTCTGTTTGGAATCCACAAATCAACACCCGTTTTTCGGTTTTGTTTCAGGGCATTTGCTACTGAAGCTGGTCTGGGTTCCCACACAAAAGACAAGCACGGAGCGGGAAAGTAAATTCGACTCCCCTAGAGAGATGATATCAGTAATAGGTAGCTGCTTGCCTTGTTTTCTAGGCCACTTTCTTTTATCATGAGGCTCCAATGTTAATGGAGAGAGCAGTTTAGTAGTATGTTTTTTGGATTCAGTACTCTTTTATTTACACTCAGATCTGTTTTGTTTTGTTTTGTTTGGATGGTTGTCAATTTCTCCGTGTGAACAACCAATTATTCTCCAAAGGGTTTTGGATGTTCTCCTCTTATATCCTATGCTATTTGAAGCTATTCTGCTTTTATTTAGGCCTTGTTTGGAACATGGCTGTTGGTTGTTGGCTGGTTTGAATGACCGATTAAGTTAGCTGTTTTGACCGGCTGTTTGTGTTAGTTGTTAAAAATTAGATGTTTGGCAACTTTAGCTGTTTACAGTTAGCTAGTTAGCTGTATGCTAATTTGTGTATGATTTTAAATTTTTTTAATTTGATAAAATACACACATTATACAAGAAAATGCTTTACATATATTTTTTTGTTGGACCAAAAAGGCTACATTTTTTTTAATTTAAAAAATGAGAATTTACAGTTATATTTTATAAGTAGATTTTTTTGTATTTTTCTCATTTATCATTCTACAAATAACCATGCATGATAAATTTTATTTTATAATTTTTTAAGTATGACATCATATATTTTTAATATACTCTGCCAATTTTAGTTTTTTAAATGTGATATCATATATTTTTTTGTTGGACAAAAAAGGCAACTTTGTTTTTTTAATTTAATAAATGAGAATTTACATTTATATTTTATAAGTAGATTTTTTTTTGTATTTTTCTCATTTATCATTCTACAAATAACAATCACGCATGATATATTTTATTTTATAATTTTTTAAATATAATATCATAAATATATAAAAATTCTTTATACCAATTCCAGTGCTGTGAGGATTGCAGAGAGACGCAATACCGAGAAAAGGGTAAGAAACGGAAAAGGGGGTGGATTGCTAAGTGAAATGCTGCTAGGGTTCGGTTCTAAATGCCAATTCCAAAAGCCATTATCCAAACAATTAATTTGGCGGTTTGACTAGTCCAATTCGTCGTTTATGGTCAAAGATGCCAAATGCTAGATGAATCGCCATTTACCAGACATGGCCTTAGTCTGTTTGTTTTAGTCTAAAAAAGAAGCAAAGAAAGGGAAGGAAAATGATAGGCAAATGCATTTCCCTTGTTGGTTCAGTGTAACACTGTGTTTGGTTAAAAGAATTTGAAAGGAAAAAGACAAGAAATTAAGATCGATAACAATTTTTCTCGTTCGGAATCAATATACTCCTACTTTGCATTCTCTCTCTCTCTAAAACTTATATTATTTCATACTCTCGGTGGTTTATAGCCATCAAATTGGTGCTCTCATTGAGAGGAGAGGAACATACTCTTAGGTTAACTCCCGAACGCGAGAATGGTGCAAACAAGGAGCAACATCCCCACCACCAGCCACGTCGTTGGCGAGGAGAACGCGCCGGGCAGCGGCAACGGTACGGGCGGCATCGGCTCGACTCCGGACGCGGTCCAGGCGCTGTTCGGCTTGGGGGTGACCGCGGAGCAGCTCCAGGCAGCCGTTGCGGCACTTTCCGCCATGGGTGGGAACGTGCCCGGCGCCGGAGTTGGCAAAGCTCCGCCCGGTCTCCATGCCGAACACGCTGCCACTTCCCAACACAAGGGGAAGAAGACCCGGAGGAGTAGAAGGAGGCCCGGCAAGGCCCCGGCGATCGAGGAGGTGATTGTGGAGGACGTCCCGGATGAGGAGGACGATGAGTCCAGCGAGTGCCGAGTGTCAGCCTTCAGGCGCTTAGGAGGGGAAGAGACCCGGGTGTCGGCCTTCGACAGGCTCGATCGCGGACTGGAAGTTCGCCTGGGCGACCTCCGCCGACAAATAGCCGAAGGCAGGCGGAGGCATGCTGAGGAGTCCGCAACATCGGATGCTCGCTCGGCGAGGTCCGAGCGGAGCGGAGAGAGGCGGGAGGAGCGCACCCAGCGTCGCCATAGCCCGACGAGAACTGAGAAGACAAAGGTCTCTGACCAAGGAGTATCTCGGCTCGCACATGAGATTGCCGAGCTTAAGCGCCGAATGGAGACCAAGGCTCCCTACAGCCAGCCCATCTTGCGGACGGTAACCCCGTTCACTCCGAGGGTTATGTCGGTTCCGCTGCCGGCAAACTTCCGGCCATGGCAGATGAAGGCCTACAACGGAACGACGGACCCCCAAGATCATTTGTCTAAGTTCTATGCTTCTATGGAAGCGGCGGCAGCCCCGGACGAGGTCAAGTGTCGATGCTTTCTCGCGACGCTGAGGGGCTCCGCGTGCGATTGGGATACACTAGCGGAGAAGTTCTTGACGCATTTCGCGGCAAACCGAAGGCAGAGGCTCCCTTACTCCCACCTGCTCAACATATGCATCCGCAAGGGAGAGAAGGTCCGCGACTTCATAGTTTGGTGGGAAAAGGAAGCCAGAGACGTGCATGGGGCGGATGACCAAGCGTTGGTGGCCATGTTCCAAGCAGCCCTTCCCCGCGGAGAGGTGAGGAAGGAGCTCCGCAAGAATCCTCCCCCCACGTACCAAGAGACCTTGGTGCGCGCTAAGTTCCTAGCCTCGGAGGAGTTTGATGATGCTCCCGACTCTGAGGCTGCGCCCGCCAAGCGCGCTCCCGCAGACTCCGGAGAGGCCGCGAAGAAGAGGAAGAAGAAGAAAGATTACACCGCGGGCCCGAGGACGCCTTCGGCTAGTGTGTACTCCGTGGGTGCGCCCTTGGGGACGGTTCGAGAGCTTGCCCTCTCCTCGCTCCCGCACGTAGAAATCTATGCAGTGTCCAGCAGTGCCAAGTATTGCGAGTATCATCGCAACAACACTCATAACACTAAGGAATGCTTCACTCTCCAAAAGGAGATGCAGAGACTCATCGCCCGAGGGCCGCCTCCACGAGATGATGGAGCAGCCCCATCTCGGGGGCCGCTGGAAGGAAGAATTTGGAGAAAGCTGGCCGAACCGGTCGCGGTGGCCACGCAAGCAAGGAACCCCGAGAAGAGGCACATTGGGCGAGAGTGTGATGATCTAGACGAGGACGAAGCCCAAGGATATCCGGTGGGATTCATCCATGGAGGAAACATTGGCGGGGACTCCATCGCTCAAAGGAAGAGGTGGAAGCACATGGCCTTCGTCGCCAAAGTCCATCAGGCGCCCAAGCACGGAAGACGTGAGCAAATCCAATTCACGGAGAAGGATCTTCCGAACACGCCGAGCCCCCACCGGGATGCCTTGGTCGTGAAGCTGGAGATTAACAATGCCATAGTGCACCGCACCTTGGTGGACACGGGAAGCTCGGTCAACATAATGTATGAGAAGACCTTCCAAGACCTCGGCTTGGACCGCAAGGACTTAAGGCCTGTGCGCACTCCACTCTCCGGGTTCACG